ATGCCAAAATCAAGATATTTCTGAATATTTGGAGGACGGAATACTTGGAGGACTTGGGGAAGAGGCACTAACTTCATTTGGGGGCTACAGATGGCAGATCCTATTAGAAGGTTCAAGGAGGCAGAATTCCCTAACAATAGCAACTACTTTAAACTGAAACAAACCTCCTCAGTGAGTAGAGAGCCTGGTTTGCTCAAGTATTCCAGCTAAGGCTGGAGGACTATGATCCAGGAAGTAGTGGGTCTATGTGCTTTGCAAGGTGGTTGGCTTGGTTGGACTCTAAGCCCCTTTCCAAGCCTGGGTCTACAGTTGTCTGTCAGCATAATGATAACCAGAATTGAAGACTGGCCAATATTATGTTTTAGGAAGCCCTGAATAAGCAGGTGGCATCCACCCTGTGACTATTTCCATGACTATTTTTGCACAGCCACTGAAAGAAAAACATTTTGGGAAACATGTTTTCTAAACATGACCCATCAGTGCCCACTTCTTGGAACTGTGACCTACAGTGGAGCCAATGCATCCTTCCCTGAAAGACTGTGGATTTTCAGAGCCATGTGTGAGTGAATCATGATGGCTGATGAATGGAGAGAGGAACACAGGATGGGATAAAGGTATGGATAAGAGGATGGCCCTGGGGCTTGGGTTGTTTATTGCAGGAGGATAAGAGGAAGGTTAGAAGATGTTTCTAGGAGGGTGACATGAAGAGAGGAAAGTCTGCTAACAGCTGAAGATTGAGGTCTGATCATTGCACCAAGAGAGGAAAACATGAGGTGAACTTAGTCTCACTCTTGTGACCAAGGTTTACCAAGATAAGTCCACCATCCAGGCTACCTATCAGTAGAAATGAGTGTGTCTGATCAGGTAAATTAAATCACCACTGGGACGTTTCAAATGTGTCACATACACAAGGTGGCTTAAGTTCATAAAGTAGATTCTTTTCTAGTCCCTTGAACTTTTCTTAGAACCATGGAGAGACCATCCATTATTAAAGCTGTTTTCCTTTCAGCAGAAAGTGCATTTCTTACTGGCAAGCCAGCACTTTAGAATTCGAGAATGTTGAGACTGACCTTCTGAATTCCTGCAGGTGAGAGAGCAGATTCACCACGGACAGATCCAATCAGACCTCCCTGGTGGTGGGGTTCATTCTCCTGTGCCTCTCAGCCTATCCAAAACTAGAGAAAATGTTCTTTGTGCTCATTCTGTCAATGTTTCTGATGATCCTACTGGGCAACGGGGTCCTCATCCTAGTGACAACCCTTGACTCCCACCTGCACATGCCCATGTACTTCTTCCTGGGGAACCTCTCTTTCCTGGACATCTGCTACACAACCTCTGCAGACCCCTCATTCTTGACAGCTCCCTGACCCACAGGAAAGCCATCTCCTTCTCAGTCTGTTTTAGACAGGTATTTCTCTCCTTTGTCATTGGAGCCAGAGTGTGTGCTCCTGAGCATGATGGCATTTGATTGCTACTTGGCCATCTGCAATCCCCTTAGACACCTCATGGTCATGAGCAAGGCTGCCTATGCGCCCATGGCTGCCAGCTCCTGCGTGGCTGGTGGAGTCAACTCCTTGGTGCAGATCTCTCTAGCAGTACAATTGCCCTTCTGTGGGGGTCAACCACTCCATCTGTGAGATCCTGGTGGTTCTGAAGTTGGCCTGTGCTGGCATCTCCATCAATGCAATCAGCATGGGGGTGACCAATGTGATCTTCCTGGGGGTCCCAGTTCTGTTCATCTTTGTCCCCTACATGTTTATCGTTGCTACCTTCCTGAGAATTCCATCAGCAGAGGGGAAGCAAAAGGCCTTCTCCTGGTGCTCTGCCCACCTCACAGTCATGGTTATCTTCTATGGGACCATCCTCTTCATGTATGGGAAGCCTAAGAATAAGGACCCACTGGAGACAGAAAAACAGGGCCTTTCAGACAAGCTGATTTCCCTCTTCTATGGAGAGGTGACCTCCAAGCTCGACCCCATAATCATCTACAGCCTCAAAAACAAAGATGTGAAGGCTGCTGTGTGTCTGAAAAACTTAGCTGAGTGACTGTCACAGAATCCCAGATTGTCAGGACACATGATTTCTAAACTCCTTGTTGTACTCATGGGAAAGTGGTAAACTAGAATAGAGAAGGGACTTTCACAAGGTCCATGTTGTGGACCATGAGACTAGGAGTAAAATGTAAAGAGGTTTTCCCACACCACCACCCCATTGTCCTATTTAAGAACCTAGAAGGAAAGAGCCTTCACATTTCTAGAGATGTTGGCTAATTGATAGGTTTTTGCACAACCACAGTGACATCATATCATAGCTATTTTATGCTAGCAAAATTTTAGATCCTCACCAGAAGCTGCTGCATGTCCGTGATGAATCATTGATATGTGCAAAATTAAGAGACAAACACAGAACCTAGTTTTAGTAGAACTGGATTCTTGAAGTGTAGTGTTCAGCCCTATTTAGAACTGCTGATTACTATACATGATTTGGTATTATCCTAGAGGCCTGTGTTCAGTAGGAATGAAAAATATCATCCATGCACAATGTGTTGCCCAATAGCACCATGGCAAGAATTCTCAAGTTGTAGCACCAGGAAAGGAGGGCTCTTATCTTGAACAGTGGGTTGAAAGAAGAAAGGAAGATGCTCATCGCATGTGCTGAGGTAAATGGTAGCAGACATTATTCATCACTTTCCGTATCCTCAGATTTACAAAATTTATTGATGAGTCTCAGCTAGCTTAGGAAACCAGAATAGAGATATTTACCTTAAAAAGAAGTACTAGTTGGTAGGAAAAATATTGAGTTGAAGAAATGAGTCCTGAGTATGGGATACAACTTTTGGCTATGAGTTTTCTTATTTACCTCAGACAAGTCATAAAGCCCTCTAAGCATCTCTCAATTTAAAATGAGAAGGTTGGATCAGAAGTTCTCTGAGTTCATACTGGCCCTGATATTCTGGAAAAGAAGGAGTGGAATGTGTTGGAAAACATTTAATTATCTTAGCACCAGAATCAGAAATTTTCTTAGAAAAAGAGAAACTATCTACATAAAATGACTTGGGATAGGTGAGACTCTGACAAAAGGTAAGGGAAAGGTGGGGATTCAATCTACCTGAGAAAAGGAGAAGACTTCAGTGTTTTGTTTCTGAAAGGGAGGACAAGAGAGTGGCAAAGAGAGAAGAGAAAGGAGAAGGCATGAGGGGAGCGAGAGCTAGAGCAAGGAAACTGGGTGCTGGGTGGGAAAGACCACTAGAGAAACCTTCAGTGGAAGTGGTGGTGTGTGCTGACCAAAACAGACTTTGGTGATCAGAAACATCGAACTTTCACCTTTCTGGAAATAATAAGTAAAGTGTTTCACACTCACCCACGGATTGGAGGTTGAAATTTTAATAGATTATGAAGAAGGTGCGAAGATTGTTATCTGAGTCAATGTGGGCCAGCACAGGAGCAGCATACAGGCAATTATGGTTATGGAAAGCAGGGAGACCAGGAAATCACAAATGCTTTGAGATTCTCTGAAATATTAGAGAGCCATGGAATGGGGATGGTGGAGGGAGAATTTAAAACAAGCGAATCTAGATCTTTGAGATCAGCACAAGATATGAATTATCATCCTCCTTGAGTAGACTGGAAAACCAAGTTTTGAAGAGGCCAAGTGATTTGCCTAATTTTGCACAGCAGTAAGTAGCATGGTTGGATTTGGAGTCCAAGTCTCACACTCTGAGAACAGTGCTGTAATTCCCTACAGAGGATGATTGCTTGGGAAGCATTTCTACCGTCCTAAGAGTACGAGTGGCCAATTTCTTTTTCCCACTCTCACTCTACATCAAATATTTAAAGCTGAGACATAAGTTGACACAGAGAACTGTAGTGAAGATGTACTTATTTTTAACGTGTATCAAAAACTTACCATGTTCAAGGCAGTAATGTATTATTAAAAATCCGAAATGTGAGTTATTACTTTGCTAGTATTGTGGGGAACAAACAAGCTCTTGAGAAGTTCACAGTCCAGTGGAGGGAGCAATAGGCATGTGCACAAATGGCTGTAGCTCAGTGTGATATACTTGAATAACATAAGTATGTACAAAGAATGAAGTTGCAGTTAAGACTTTGGCATACAGTTCTGATGACTGGATAAAATATTCACTAAAGACAAGATTGGAATTGGGAAGGAAGGGCACTCCCGGTAGATAAACTGTAGACTAAAGACATAAAAATATAAAATGGCATGGTAAGTATGAGCAACCACAAGCTGGTGGTTGTTTCAGACCAGAACGTGGAGGTGGAGTATTGGGAGAGGAGGCTGGAGAAGCAGGCAACAACGAAAATGTGAGGTGTGTGTCTTTGTAATTGATTTCATTTGAACTTTGTCTGATAGGACAGTGGTTTTAAACGTCTCCATATGTGATCGATTGTCAGTTATATTGCAAGTAATTTGATTTACATCATAAAATACTTACCTTTGAAAATGATTTCCTTGCTAAGGAAGTATTTCTTCCTGAGAAAGTATCTTGAAATTTCAAGAATTTTCCATATTCAAAAATGCCTTCTTGGAGACAGAAAGCAGGTAGTGTTGTAGTAATTGGACTCTCGTCTATCTTCTATTTATGATCATTACTGTGCAGAATATTCATCTGTTATATTACATAATTTGCAGCTTTCTGAATTGCAACGACATCCTTTCTTGTTGCAAATGTTACAAAAACCTTTTCTTTGCCCAGCAAATCTTCTCTGGCCCTCAAGTAGAGTAGATCTGATGCATTTTTTTTTTTTTTATTGAGCAGTCTTAAAATGTCTCACTGAGCAGTGCCAGCAACACAGAGTTGGGTTCTTACTTTGTGTTTGCCTAACACCCTGGGGCATACTTATATCACATTATTATAATTGTTTATTACTTGACTGGGTCTAGTATTTTATTGCGAGTTGCCTGGGAGCTGCTTTTACGTAATTCAGCTCTAGATCTTCAGTGATTTATAGTGTATTCAATAAAAGTTGGATGTATGAATGAATAATTAATGGTATTGCCAGGATAATAATCCTTTTGAGTATTCCTAATGAAAATCTCTTGAGAGTTGGTAAGGTTTAAACTTTTAAATATCTATAATGTATACTTTTATTCACTACTACAGAAGAACAAGAAGGAACAAAATGGTCAAGACAAATGTTACAGTCATTTCAAATTTTATTTTTCTGGGATTTTCCTACTACCCCAAAGTGGAAATAGCCGTATTTGTGCTGTGCTTGCTGATGTACTTGATCACCTTGCTGGGTAATATGATTCTGATCTCCATCACCATCCTGGATTCCCGCCTACACACACCCATGTACTTCTTCCTCAGCAACCTCTCCATTCTGGACATCTGGTACACCTCTTCTGCTCTCACTCCAATGCTGGTAAACTTTGTTTCAGGGAAAAACACCATCTCATTCTCAGGATGTGCTACTCAGATGTACTTCTCTCTGGCCATGGGCTCCACTGAGTGTGTGCTCCTGTCCATGATGGCATATGACAGGTATGTTGCCATCTGCAACCCCCTGAGATACCCCATCATCATGAACAAGAGGGTTTGTGTGCAGATTGCAGCTGGCACCTGGGTGACAGGCTGCCTCACTGCCCTTGTGGAAACTATGTCTGTGCTGCATCAGTCTCTCTGTGGAAACAGCATCATCAATCATTTCACTTGTGAAATTCTGGCTGTCTTGAAACTAGTTTGTTCAGACACTTCCAAGGTGCAGTTAATCATGCTGGTGATCAGCATACTTCTTCTTCCTATGCCGATGCTCCTCATTTGTCTCTCTTATGCATTCATTCTGTCCAACATCCTAAGAATTGGTTCAGTGGATGGTCGAAGCAAAGCCTTTTCAACGTGTGCAGCCCACCTGACTGTGGTGATTTTGTTCTATGGGACAGCTCTCTCCATGTACCTGAAGCCCTCGGCTGTAGATTCACAGGAAATAGACAAATTTATGGCTTTTGTATACGCCGGATTAACCCCCATGTTGAATCCTATCATTTATAGTCTACGTAACAAAGAGGTGAAAGCGGCTGTGAAAAAATTACTGATTAGGCACCCTCTTCGTGCTCTCTTAATCCCTAGTAGCAAATAACATCAATAAACATTTATCTAAGGGATGTTTAGTGGTGAGTATTCACTAGAACTTTGGGATCATGGAGGAAGACACTCATTCTAAATGAAATGTGTGATTTCTTACTTCTCTTCCTTGAATGACCACTGAAACTCTCAAATAATATAGATATGTCTTACATAATCATATCTGAAACCTTATGCAAATAAGTCTTGTGATGAAAATTTTCATTTTTCTTTTGGGTTATACCGTGTCAATATAACCTTAAGCATTTTTAGTGTATTTTTAAGTATTTACAATTGCGTACATGTAGTATATGAAGATAACTCCGGTAGACTTTTTAGCTAATTTATGATTACACTCTGTTTCAAGGTGAATTGTGTCACTCCAAAACTCTCGTGTTGAAGCTCTAACCCCCTAGTACCTCAGAATATGTCAGTATTTGGAGATATGGCCTTTAAGGAGGTGAACAAGTTAAAATGATGCTGTTAGTGTGGGCCATCATACAATCTGAGTTGTGTCATGATAAGAAGAGGAAATTTGGACACACTAGGTACAATAGGGATGCTCACACATGGAGGAAATTACAGAGGCAGAAAGTGGCTGTTTGAAATTCAAGGAGAGACCTCAGAAGAAATCCAAACTGAAAACACTGTAATCTTGGACTTCTAGCCTCTGGAACTGCAAGCAAATAAATTTTTGTTGTTTGACCCACCCAATCTGTGGTATTTTGTTATGGCAGCCTTTGCAAACTAATACCACCTCTTTTTCTGCATAGCTCTATTTAACAGGAATAATAATATATTCTTTAAATGTGTGACTGTGTTTTACATGTGTGGACATATTTGTGCATGCAGATAGATGTGTGTGATGTGAATGTCTATGTACAAATGCAAAAGGTCAGCACAAATATATCCTGAATAGAAGTGGGGTGGAGGAGAGTCAGTCAGGAAAAAAATATCAGGGTTTAGTAACATGTTGTTGATCTTAGGATGCTGACATTATCTCGTAAACCTGAGGAAGCTACAGTGTGTTTCAGTGAAACCACTAGTGCCCTTTGTTACTACGCTTTTCTCTGACACCTGGTTCCTTAAATTCAAGGGTAGAAATGAACCTGTTGCACTTAGAAAGATAAGACGTGATATCTATATTACAGAATTTATAATACTTTAAAACCACTAAATTGGTATAAAATATTGAAATATATTTTATCAACCTTATTAAATAAACCAAAATATACAAGAAGTTTAAAAATGTACACCCAGCAGCTTTCATAGTGTCTGTATATCCCCTCTTGACCAGATGACTAAACATGAAGTCGATGTGCAAAGCTTATTTTCTCTTTGTCATGGAGTTGTCACCAGAGTCAATAGAATTGTTGTGATAGCTTGAATCCTGGTTGAGGGTTATCCATTGGTGTAGAAGAGAGAGACAGAGGTAGTTCTGGGATTAACTTTAGGGCATATGAGAAAATCATACCAAAGATTTATTTAGTCTGTCCAAACGGTGAAAACCTCATCAAGAAATAGTTAGATTGGGGTCAATGGATTGACCAATCATTATCCAATGATAATCCTTGAAATCAATGATCTATGGCCACTGGAAGAGTAATAAAAGTGTGAGAGAATGGAGATAATAGAAAGAAGAAGAAGAATATATATAGGTAACAGCTAACACAGTGATAGGACTTAAGGCAATTATGAGTTCCAACTAGTCGTGTTCACTTATTCTACCCTCATTCAAAGATTTGACTTTCACTGCCTGCATAAGGGCAGGGTGAAACTGATCCATGGATGAGGAGGGAGAAAGTATTCAAGAGTCACAAGCCTTTATTTTTATAGAGTCTTCCTAAGTTTGTATTCCTTTTAAAATTTTCTGTTATCTTGCCTTGGGCTTATTATCTCCAAGTGGGTACTTTTCTGCAACTGACTTCAACAAATATCTAAAAGCTCATGATGGTGCCTTCATTTCGTGAAGACCTAGTAGGGCTTTGATAGGATCATGGGCATTAGTGTTGTGGTTTGCTCTGCCTGATTTTAGTCAACTTCAGTAGCACAGACACTAGATCAGCATGGATCTCTCATTCTTTTATGGCCTATGACTAGTCTTTTTTATATTTCATAATTAGTTATTTTAGTAAATTTAATAACAGGATGGGCTTGGCATATTTATTACTTTCTAAATACAATAAAAAGGAGATATTGGAAGTCAAGGTTAATGGTATATTCCATATAAGAAATAGTCAATATCTTTTAAAATCTACACTTAGAATGTCTCTGTATTGAAGAAGCAATAGAGACATATCATGACAAATAAAAAGGTTTGTGAACAAAGTGAGGAGCAATGTTCAGATGGTAATGGATATTAATTCAAAACATCCTGTTCGTTATCCTTTCCACTGAACCCTCATTAGCACAATAAAATAAAATATATAACAGCCTCATTCTGAATTAAAATCACAAAGCATATTATTCTATCTAATGTTCTACATACTTCTTTTGAAGAAAGAAAAATTTGTGGAAATTTGAGGAAAAAAATTCGTGGAAAAATTAACAGTGTTAATACTTGTCAATTTAGATATTGGTGCAGCAAGAGTAGTAATGTGGTGTTGTGGAAAATCCTGGGCTGTACAACCAAAGAACTCAGGATTGAATTCTTACTCCTCCTCTTCCTAGGTATGTGACCTGGAAAACCAAAGTTGACCTCCTTGTGCTTTGGTTACTTCCTTTGGAAGATGGATACAGCAATGTCTACATCATGAGATTGTTGTGACAATCACATGAGAAAATAAATTCAAAACCAGCAATCAATTGCTACTAATTTTTGTTATAAAAAGCAAGAGAAGGGAGAGATCCTTTCAGGACTACTGATTATCATTCATTTAAAAGAGAAAATTTAAAAGGTTCGAGGAGGCCAGATTGTCAAGAATCTTGTAATACTGGGCTTTATTCTGTAGAAAATGGAAAGTCAGTGAAGATTTTCTCACACTCTTACGATGTGATCAGGTTAAGCCATTAGGCTGGAAAGAATGTTCTTGTGATATTGTGAAGGATTGATGGAGAATGGGAGAGATGATTTAGAGGTCCATTGCAACAGTGCCCACAGAGGCAATGAAGACTTCAACAGAAAGCAATAGGATCAAGAAGGTAGGATGAATATGGGAATTAGAGGGTTACAGGATTGGATTTGAGGATCTCTCAGATATGGACAGACAGTTATCAAAGATGATTCCATTGGTCTAAGTAAAGAACTTACAAGACAGTCATTGATTGGATGAGAGGAGAAGCTTAAGGATGATGACTTCACAAAGATTAGGGTGTAAGTTGCTTGATTGATTTACTAAGTGTCGAGGGTCAGACTTCCACGTGAAGACAGACCAGTGAAGTCCAAGAGAGAAATCAAAACTACAGCTATGCATTGGAAAGTCCTTTGTACAGAGGTGAAAATTTGAGCCCTAGGTGTGGATGATATTGTCTAGGGAGAAATTTAAGACAAATGTCTATATAATGGTTGGATATGTTTTCCTATAATTGGTCCAAGCTATGGTGTAGGGGAAAGAATATAACACTTGGAATCTGGAGTAAAGAATTCTAGTTTGGTTTTTCTATATAAGCTGAATGATCTTAGGCAATTTCTTAAACATCCTGGCCTAATTTCCTCTTCTATGTTCATAGAATAATTTATTTAATCTATTTCTAGTAATTATTTTAAAGTTCTTGCTTGCGAATTCCAAAAGACCACCTGTCAATCAACTAGAGTGATGGGCTTATCACTTTGATACACTCAGTTTTTTAAATTTAATTATTTTATTGAGGTCATAGTGGTTTATAACATTGTATAATTTCAGGTATACATTATTATATGTCAGTTTCTGTATAGACTGAATCGTGCTCACCCCAATAGTCTAGCTTCTATCTGTCACCACACATATGTCCCCCTTTACTCCTTTCACTCTCCTGCCCACCCCTTCCTTTCCCCTAATTACTAATCTGTTCTCCTTATCCATGTGTTTATTAATGTTCCATGTATGACTGAAATCATATGGTGTTTGACTTTCTCTGTCTGGCTTAGTTCACTTAACATAATACTCTCTAGGTCCATCAGTGTTGTTGCAAATGACACAATTTTGTCTTTTTTATGACTGAATAGTATTCCATTGTTTATGTATGCCACATCTTCTTTATCCATTCAGCAGTTGATGGACACTTGGGTTGCTTCCACTTCTTGGCTATTGTGAATAATGCTGCAATGAACATAGGGGTACATATATCTCTTTGAATTGTTGATTTCATGTTATTTGGATAAATATCCATTAATGAGATAGCTGGATCATATGATACTTTTCTTTTTAATTTTTTGAGAAGTCGCCGTACTGTTTTCCATAGTAGCTGTACCAGTGTACATTCCCACCAGAGGTTGATACACTTAGTTTTTGATCTTCTTTTCTGGCTAGACTCTCACTTCAGTTAGTTTGAATTTACTTGTTATTTCAAAAATATTGACAAACATTTATTAGTGTATTACAAAGCTAGGGCTATGACCTGGCAGTACTTAGGTATACAAGCTTAAGGTATCCCAAGGTCTCTCTCTCTCTCTCTACCTCTCTTTCGTGCTTCCAGCTTTACTCCATAGCTACCCACACTAGAATATGCTAAAACAATTCCTTTTGATGGAAACAGATAGGTGGGGAGGATTTAAATTTCTTCTTATGACCAAGAAGGGGTAATGGGGATCAGATTTGCCTTTCTACCTGAAACAATAAAAATACAACAGAAGAAATATCTGAAAAACAAATTTTTATATACTGACATTAAGCAACATAGGACAATGATCCCTGAGAGAAGAGAAAGAAATTAAGTGAGTCCTATAATTTTCCAAGCTTAATTCCAGGTAAGAAGATAGAGAGAGGGAACAATGTGGAGTCTCCATGTCTTTAGAGGATGTAGTTGAAAGGCCAGTAAAAAAAGGAAACTAGTTTTTGAGAACAGAATATCAAAGAGGAAGAAGCTGCGGTGAAAAAGAGCTCTAGAGATCTAAGGGGATGCCCCTTGAGTCTTCAACTGAGTATTGATCAGTGCAGGTGTGTGAGGAAACTAACTGGGCCTGGGAAAGAATCACTCAAGAGGACTAGAGGGAACGATTTTCAGAACTCACCCAAGGCTTGGAATAAAGTTAGCAAATTTACAACTTAAAAATTCACATTGTACAACCTAAATAGATACATTTTTTGTTAATCATACTTCAATAAAACTGAAAAAAGAAAGCGTATTAAAAAAAACAGACACAGATATGACACTGATAGAATTGCTAGACAAGGCATTAAAATTATTCTAACTATATTTTATATAGTCAAGAAGGTTGAGAAAAACTCAAGCATGTCATTTGAGATATAGAAAAGTATATTTATAAATAAAGGTAATATTTTAAAAAGACAAAATCTAAGATCTAGAAATGAAGGAGAAATTTAATATGAATGTACCCACTGTATTTTGGATAGAATTAAAATAATTGGCCACTGCAGAAGAAAAGATTGCTGAACTGGGAACCAGAGCAACAGTAACTCTTCAAAATGAAGCACAGAGAGAAAAAAAGACTGAAAAAAAGTGAACTGACCATTAATTGCTGTGAGACAACTTTAAGTTGTGTGACATACATGTAATCGGAGTCGAAAAAGGAGAAAGCATAGGCAGGATAATATTTAAAGAAATAGTGGATAGAAATTTTCTAAATTTGAGAAAAAAATAAATATACGACACAAAAAGTTCAATAACCGAAAGAATAACAAACAGGAACAAAACCACACCAAGGCACATCACATGAAGTTGTTTAAAACCGGGAAAAAAAAGATATGTCCCTGAGAGAGAGCTTTGTTCTTCTCTAAAATGACAGGACTTCCCCTTGGACTCTGCAAGCCAGAGACAATGGAGCAGCATCATTAAAGTACTGAAAGAAAAAACTGTCAATCTAGAATTCTATACTCAATGTACACAGCTTTCAAAATCAAGATTTTTCCCTTCACCATTTCTAGAATCAGCCCTGGTCCCTTTTTAGTGGAAAACTGCATTTAGAAATCAAGATTGGGTACTAGATGTACAATTACTATTAGCATATCACTGCTCCCAGGCCCTCTAAGTGCATATATGGGCATACATATAAATGTATGATTTTATATGTACATGTGGATGTGTATGTATACACACGCATTTACAAACATTTATGTCCATATTAATTTCTATACATATACCTACATCTAGCCATCATCTCTCTGTTTATCTTTATATATGTATATCGCTCCATGTATCTTTATATATTGACAACCATGAGTTCACACTATCTCCAATTCTAATCCAACACCATAGGTTTTGTTCTACTTTTCACCCTTTCCATATCTGTAACTCCTTCTCTGACAGTGTGAAACCTGGCTCTCATTATACCCAAGATTTTAACCTGTTATTTGTTTTATCTCCTGTATGTAAACATTTCTTTTGCTTCACATTATCCTCTATCACCCCACTGTCCATACACTAACATCCTTTTTAAGTTACTTAAGATCTGACACTTCAGTCAAAGCCATCCCACTTCAAGGATGCATGCTTCAGCCTGATCTGGTGCTGACAGACTTGACCATTTTCCCCTCCTCAGGTGTGCCCTTCTCACTCCATTTAGGTCTTTCTTCATGGACTCCCTCTACACCCCTCTCAGGTTTCGACATCCATGATCTGAATCACTCCCCTGTGGAAGCCTTCCTCACCTATTCAGTCTCTGACAATTCATGCCTGGCCACCTGCCCCACTCCTTACCCTGGCAAGTTGACACTTTCATTACCCTATTGTGTTCTAATATGTCTTGCTGGGTGCCTTCCTTTGCATGCAATCCTCAACCAGGTGCTGGCATCCACACCCCTCTCTTATATGTATGCTTTATTCATCCCACTTGGCCTCTGACAACCTGAGCTGAGCCATTCCCTGTGTAGATGTCTTCTTCATTCTGCTTGGGTTCTGGCAACATGAACTGGGCCCCCCTTCCACATTAACATTTCATTTACTCTGATCAGGCTCCAAAACATCATGCTGGCCAGAACAAGCAAGGATGCCTTCCTGAAAACTATAGGGTTACTAAAACCTTTGCTGGATGGCCCTTGAATGTGGATGCTCTCCTATCCAGTTCAGGCTATGATAACGTAAAGGATGCTCAACTATATATCATACAATTATATACGATATGATATTATGTAAAAAATGCAACTATATATAATTACTCACTAGCAATTTCAAGGGGATTTTTCTAAAAGGAAAATACTTAAAATGAGACTATTGCTTCTGAAAGAATGAAATTGTCAGTGTTCTTTAAGAACGATTTACGCAATTCATACATTTTTCTCAGCAAGTGCTTATTAGAGAATAATATACATTAATATGATTTCTGTCTTATCTAGCTCAAATGAGCTCTTCAGTATACTTTATTCAATCTTTAATCTGCCCTTATTTTTCCATACATTTAAAATTAGCTGATACTTTACAAAAGCTTTTAGATTTGTCATTTAGTATATGAAATAATATATAAGTCCAAGTTCTCCTATATCACTTTATTACTTCAAATACTCAGAATATATTTTACTATCCTTTAAAAATTATAAGTAATTAATTCAGCATTTTATTACTGTTATTACTGCCTACTGTTTTAATTAATTTGACATTACTTCATGCAGAGTTCTGCCATTGGGGAGATATCAGAAGCTAACAAATGATTATAATATAAAAGGAAAAGTGGTATAATGGAGATAAATTTGAAGGCAGCATAGAGGAGGGAGTAACTAATTCTGGGTAAATTTTGGAATGATTTGCAGAAGAAATAACACTTGAATTGTTTTTAATGAGGTTCGGGATGTCACCGGAGAAGGAGAAATGTGATGATGGGAGTGAAGAGGCATATCCTATTGTCCTTAGGTGTGAAGGAACATGATAAAATTGGATAACTATATAGTGAACGGAGCACAGCATGTGCACAGAGGCGGGGGAAGATGGAGATGGGAAGAAGTAGGGGAAATATTTACCTGCAAATTAGGTTGGAGACAGATCAAATCCCGGGTGTAAAAAAATCAATAATAAACAGAAAAATGAATTCAAATAGGTCTCTCAAAAAGGGGACTGACAAATATGTGTTTTCCTTGTTAAGTAGAAATATGTACAGGATTTTCTTGGAAAAGCTTAATTTCAATTTTTTTCTTGTTTCTAAAAATTTACTCTCACCTCCTAGACCAACTGTCCCTACATTTTTATAACAGTCATTTTCATAAAAATATAAAGTCAGATTATCATCTTGAAATTTCTTTCAAACTCTTAAATTCTGCGATTCTACATATAGCTTTTATTTCTTTGGTTCTCTTTATATTGAAAATCTTTGCCTCTGATATATGAGCTTATTCTGTGCATGAACTCACAGATGTAAGTTTCTCATCCTTTCCTCCAGAACCAGTATCTAGTCATCAATTTTCTCATAGCTCCGTGCACCTCCGTATTCCTCAGGCTATAGATGATAGGATTGAGCATGGGCGTGACTACTCCATAGAACAGGGCAATCAATTTGTCGAAAGTGGAGTCTTTGGACTTTGGCTTCATATACATGAAGAGGATTGTCCCATAAAACACAGTCACCACTGTTAGGTGGGCTGAGCAGGTTGAAAAGGCCTTTTTTCTTCCTTCTGCTGAATTGATTCGTAGCACGGTAGAAAGGATGAAAATGTAGGAGATACAAATCAACAGTAATGGAGAAAACAAAAATATTACATTTCCCAACATTAGAGTAATCTCATTCAAGGAAATATCTGCACATGCCAGCTTGATAAAGGCCAATATCTCACAAACAAAATGATTAATGACGTTTTTTCCACAGAAAGGCAACCGTACTGCAAGAATAGTTTGTGTCAATGAGTTGAGAAAGCCCAATCCCCATGAGAGAGATGCCATTTGAATGCAAAGGGCCCTGCTCATGATGATGGGGTATCTCAGAGGGTTGCAGATGGCCACATAACGGTCATATGCCATCACTGCTAGGAGCACACACTCTGTGGATGCCATTGTGAAGGAGACAGACATCTGAACAACACATCTAGTGAAGGAGATGGTTTTTTTCTCAGATAGCAAGTGTATCAGCAACGTGGGGATATAAGAGGATGTGTAGCAAATGTCTAGGAAGGAAAGATTACCAAGGAAGAAGTACATGGGTGTGTGGAGGCGGGAATCCAGGAGAGTTAGGGTGATCAAGGTGCTGTTCCCCAGGAGGATGACAAGATACGTCACCGAACACATCACAAAAAGGAGCTTTTCAGCACTAGGGTACTCAGAAAGTCCCTGCAGAATGAACTCAATGTCTGTCCAGTTGGTCCTTTCCATTTACTTTTTTATACCTGGAGTGATTCTAAACAGAAAACTGTGTGTTAGTTAAAGGATTCTGTTCAGTATTATCACATGAAGAACGTGATCACTGGAGTAGGAGGTGCAGCAAGTATGTCAGGACTAGCTGGAGTGGTGGTCACAGCTATGAGTTTAGCTTTTTGAATTCCTCTTCTTGCTCATGAGGCAGGGCATTGAAGACAAGTATAATTATATTGGCAGTTTATTGAAATACAGGCTTCTGTATTCCATTTCCTGAGATTATGATGCACAAGCTCTGAGGCTGGGAAGAGTTATTTGCATTTTTAATAAGCATCTGTTATTTCCAATTCAGTTGACCCACAGAGCCCACTTTGAATCTCATTATTTTGGAGACAGAGTGCTTAATCTGTTTAAAAAAATCTATTTGTTTTTATACAATGCTAATTATTAGCAATATCATTAATTTAGGGCTTTATAACTTACAAATATGTTCACACATATCACTCATTTCATATTCTCTATAGTCCTCTGAAGAAAATGAACTTCTTAAATGTAAAATATATGTAAAAACATATTTTGTGAGGGACCTGCTATTCAAATGTGTTTTTTCTGACTTTAAATCCCTTCTTTTTAACTACACAATTATTGTTCTACCCAAATTATACTTGTTGTCTAAGGAATGCGAATCAGGAATGTTTTTTTAATAATGCACTCCAGGCTATTCTAATGTGTAACTGAGGAAGAGAACCGCTTGTCTCATGGAGTGTTTCCAAATTTTAGGATACATATGAATCACGTGGGGAATTTTTGTGAGAGACTCTGAACCAATGTGTCTGACGTGGTTTATAGGATCTGCATTTCTTACCGTGTTCCCAGATGCTGTTTGTGTAGAGAACACACATGAGTAGCAAGGCCTTTAGACCATCCCTCTCCAATACCATTGAAGATTGCCACTGGTGCTTCAATTGTGTGTAGGATTGTAATTGAATAGTAGACAATGCAAAACTAAATGTTCTTGAACAACCCTGGTGGTATTTGGAGGTGAGACTTCTGTCTACGTGTATTGCAGTCAGTATTGTATTCTTCAGATTTTAGATAAGCAAGCAACGAATTTGCATACAGAAAAGGCTGGTTTTACTTCTGTCCACAAGGAAGTCAATCCTCTTCCAATTGTTGAATTTGCAATTAGGATTAACGCTTTCCAAAAAAAGGCATTTGAGTCAGTTCAAGTATCTGAGTCATGCACCAAAGAGCATAGAGAAAATGACTTTAATTTGAAAAACTTTAAAGAGCAAATATGAGTAGATGATCTTCTTTATAGTAAATAAATTGAAGAACATAATTTTGAAAACTCCTTTTTATCCTCAAAGTATTCTATGTAGCTTTAAAAATATTCCTAGAGGAAAAAATAATTGATCCAATGGATGAGTTTCTACTTAGTGTTTTCAAACAATGACTGTGCTCCTGGTGTAGGATTTGCCATATCTCTCTTTCATAGTCATTGGCCAATAGGTTATGCTGCTTTCTGTGAAAACTCCACTTTACAATGGTGAGACAATTAATCAGCATAATAGAATGTTTACATATCTATGGAAAGGAGGCCTCTCTTCCAGTTTAAGCTTCACTCTACTTTGTAAGCGTACATTCCAAAGAGGGTAGGAAGGGTTGGATAGGCCAGGGTATACTTCTGTTTGGTATTAAGATTGGAATTTGATTGACTGTAGGGTCACATATCACCCTATTCAATAATCTGGGAATAAAATTCTGATACAGTCTTTGAAGGAGCGTCAGTTGTCTAGGGTCTGTACTGGAATTTTTGCAGGGATGATGTAAATCATATCAAATACTCTTTCTTTTCTTTTCTAGGAACATAACCTAAAAGTTGATTTCTATTTGGAAATTTCTTCCAGTAAACAATTATGATGTGCATTTGGTATCCTAATTTTCAGATAGTTGCTGCAAAAAGAAATTTCACTTATAAACGTTTGTAACAGAAACCACCGATCCACTCGCTTTCAAGTGAGGGGAAAAAAGAAAAATGGACAGTATAGAGGAAATTATTTTCATTACTCTTGCAATGCTGTTGTAACTTTTAAGAAGCAATTAACAAGCACTGTTAAATAATATTGTGCCTGGAATTTTTCTCCACTTAAGTTTATTTCTCTAAAATGGATTCCAAGAATCTGGGAACAAGGAATGAAGATTTTTAAGATTCTTGACAGTTTCTAATAAATCACTTTCTTTGGGATCTGTATGTTGCACGATTCTGTTTTTACTAGATCTTTGCCATTATTGGATCTTTTAAAACAGTTTTTCATTCTTAGCTAGTGCTAGGGAAATGGTTAAATAATCACAGCACACTCTTCAGATGGGCCATTATGCACTTATTAATATGGCATTTGTGAGAAATTTGTATTAAAACAAAAATTATGTTTAAACTATGTTAAAATGTTTAAGTGAAAACAGAAACATAGCAACATTTACAGCATTGTTTGCAAAACCAAAACAAGAAAACCTACCCAGAGTAGAAAGAATGGAAAGAAATATACAAAATACTAATGATTATCTTAGAGACCTTTTTTCTACTTTTCTGAATTTATCCAAACTTTGAAAATTAATATACATAAAGGAAAAACATAATAACAAAGGCAAAAGACACTGAAGCAGTGTAAAAAATGTCAAAACAATTTAAATAGTAGAGTGATTGTCTTAGGTGTCTTGAACTACACACTGAGGCTGAGTTGTACTGGTGTGCCTGTCTAGTTATCCATAGGAACACACTGTTGCTGGTGGACCTAGAACATTCATAATCCGGCTTCTCAAAATCTTCCAGGTAGTAGTGTTTATTGTTTTTAGAAGGTACACCAAGATAAAGAACTTGAGTCCTTGACTTAATCATATGATCTCAAGAGAGATCCCAGAGCTCTGATGCCTAGAACAGAATTGTCACTAGAAGATGATGTTTTTATTTGTAAAGGCTCTGAACATGCCTGGATCCTGGCCATCCTCTAATTCTTTTCTTCCAACCCCTTGTCTTTTGTAAGAAATAACCACTCTGTGGTTCAGTGCTCTGAGACTTCATCCAGGCACTGTTTCCATGTTGTAAGAGACCCAAGGAAAATCTGTGACATTTTTATCCAGGCCAGAAGTCAAGCTTTCTAACCTTCTATAAGTTTTTTGCTTTGTTTTGTTTTATTAACTTAGCTACTTGAAGATCTAATATTTTGAAGATTTTTCAATGAAAGATATATATCATCTCTACTCTAGATTCTCACTAGAGGAAATAATCCTGTTATCCTCTCCAGCTCTTATAAAAAGATTAGTTAAGACAAATGATATTGTGCAGAGATTAATGGACTTGCCAACTTTCAATTTAGATTTCATAATTCTAATCTTCAATTAATATACCATGAGGAAGATGTATTATTTTAGCTCACAAAGAGAAGAGTAATTGACAACATGGGTGGCTTTAGTATGGTAGTAGGAACTCCAGATAATTTTTATCATTTAGTCTTCAAAATACCCCAAATATTATTATGAGTTTTTTACCTATAAGGATATTAATGTGAGCTTTCAAAGATTCAGTACGATTTTTGTTATCTTATAGTTGGTAAATCCCAGAACTATGATTTAAATCCCTATCTTTATGATCCCCAAGTCCCCATTTTACCACTATATTACAAATTTTACTTATTTGTGAAATTTTTTGAAACAAATGCACTTAACTTTCATCAAGGATCCGTATGATAAATATACACATGAAAATATATTTACCTCTCGAAAAAAATTGAAGATATTGATTGTCTTCCACTTATGAAGACATTATCCAAAATAATGAATTCAAATAAAAAATATGCCCCAAATTCCTTTTAAGAGCAGTCTGGAGAATTAAGGTGTAGGTAGCATTATTTGATTTATTGTTTAAATGAGAATATCTTTTCATTCGCTTTGGCTGCCTGGGGCTCAGACTAACACTCAGTGATAATTACTTCTGTCCACTGTTACATACTTTTTGTTTCTAATCCTATTATTATCATAAGCATCTTTATTTATATGGTTCTTCAAATCCTTATTGGGCACAGTTTGTGTGTATGTAGTAAATAAATGACCATGAGCTCTTTCTCCAGATAATTTTTACTTAATAGTTTAGTGCACCAGATACTTAAATACAGTAGTCATTAGCAAGGGTTTGTTGCATTACAAACAATTTTCTTTTTGTTTTCTGTTTTTTTGTGAGAAAGACTGTCACTGAGCTAACATCTGTTGCCGATCTTCCTATTTTGCTTAAGGAAGATTGTTGCTGAGCTAACATGTGTGCCAATCTTCCTCTATTTTGTGTGGGATGCCACCACAGCGTGGCTTGGGAGCAGTGCAAGGTCTGTGCCTAGGATCTGAACCTATGAACCCAAGGCCACCTAAGTGGAACGCATGAACTTAACCACTACAATACCAGGCTGGCCCCCAAATAACTTTCTCTTCCTCACTAGTCTCTTCCGTGTACTATTTTGGAATTAAATATATATATCATTATGATATCAATATAATATCATTGTCTTGGAGATGATGACTGGGGTTTTCTATTTTGTTCTTTATATATATATACATATACATATATATGTATATGTATATGTATATATACGTATTTTTAAAGTCCCACCAGCAATGATCACCTCAACTCAAAAATCTTTATATTTATTGATAGATTGTATTCCTTTTGAAATAATTTTAGTAAAAATTTCTCATACCTCCTGACTGGGTTTTAAAATCATCCACACCATTCCATTCTATCAAGTAATAGAAAAATTCCCAGGAATTTGAATTTCATTTCCGTTTTTCAGATGAGACCAGTAGATTCTCAATTTGAAAGATGATTGCTTCTCCTTCCTAAAAGGAAATATGAGAAAGAACAGACACAGAGAATTTGTTTGTATGTGAATCTTCTTAAGAGTGTTTCAAGGAAATATTACATACTAAGAATATAGATCAATGATGCAACTCTAGTTTCCATGATTTATCCTAAAGTTGACGTTTACTCCAGAGAGACTAGTTTTTTTTTGAAATCAAGTTAGCTCTTATTTTCACAAACTTCTTCAGTCCCTAAGGTTGTGAATCAGAGACTTAGGATTCTCTAGAGATAAAGTCTTTGATTTCTACACATTCCAAATACCCAATTATTCTGCCTTAAAGAAACCTTATCCAACCATACATTTCTTGGAGTATTCATTGAATATGTCTGTATTAGATGGCCTCAACATATGTTGGAACTGGAAGCAAAGTATGTCTAAAAGTTCTAAGAAATGTTGAACTTTCCTCAAGAGTTTGTGTTTCTTTTTATTACATGCATAATACTACATCAGTCCTAATAGAATCCAAAATAAGTCATTCCACCTCTTTAAACTCTATATTTCATATTTTTGTTAATCCTATGCCACACATGATTTTTCTTTAAATCAGTATAATTGTA